TAGTTGGCTTAGTGCCCAAAGGTGAACTGATGGTGACAGCTGGCAGCCCCGCCCTGTTTTGTTGGGCCCCACTGGGTGGCTCTCACCTGGGCCCTAGGTGGGCGTACGCTGGGGGGGCTGTGCCAGTGCAGATTGCCGCCTTTAGGCAAGCACCCACCAGCTTCTGGGCCTCTGTCTCTTGGCAGAACAGGCAGGTGCTTATCCATGTAAGGATGGGACTATGATGGCTTCTGTCTCCTCCTTATTTTTATAGGGGTCTGAAGACCCTCTGAGATTTATTGCAAAATACTATGGGGGTGGCTGAGAGAGGGGTGTATAAGTTTGCATTTTCCTAAGAGATCCTCAGAGAAGGCCCCTAGCTGAAAATTTTCGTGTGTTCCTGCTTTAGAGCCCCAGAATTCTACACTTAAGTTAATAGAAGAGCCATCATTACTCTCATTTTATTTATTTTATTCAAACAAATATTTATTGAGTATCACTGTGCGCCAGGTGTCATTCCCGGCATTGGGAATGGGTCCTTAGGGACAAGACTAACTCCCTGTCCCTCCAGGGCTTGTACATTCCTGGGAAGCAGATGATCAGCAGGTGAATCTATACAAATACACATCAGGGCGTGGCAAGAGTTACGAAGACCAAATCAGGAAAAGGGCTCCAGGCAAATGGGGGCATGTTAGAGGGGCTCAGGGAGGGCCTTTCTGGATATGACCTTCGAACAGAGGCCTGAGTGAAGAGAGAGCACCTGTGCCAGTGTCTGGGGCAGGGGTGTCCAGGCAGAGGGAACAGAACGTCGAAGCCCACTCAACCACTCGAAGCTTGCATGTCTGGTGGCATGGGGGAGTGGGAGTGGTGGCAGCGAGATCAGAGGATGGCCAGGGCCTGTCAGAGGCAACTTGGGCGAGTGCTGGGGGCCTGGCTTACGCTCCAGCAGGGTGGGGTGATGGGGGGAGAGCAGAGGCAGGAAGAGGAAGCCTAGAGCTAGGAGCAGCTGAATGTGGCCTGCCAGTGCAGGTCCCCCTTGGTGCCCATGCCACGCTTCCACACTTGCTCCGTGGCTGCCTCTGCTTGCCCTGCGCCTGCTCTGTGTGGCACCCAGGGCTGTAGCATTTATTTCTCTGTGCCCTGTGAACTGCCTGCCTGGACTGCTGCGGCACTTTCTCCGCAGTGAGGCTACTCCCCCCTCCTCCCCCCCTCCCTGTCCAGGTGTCATTTCTGTGCAAGTCTCCCCTAAACTGATGGTTCCTGGTATGGTGGAGGTGTTGGGCCCAAAGGTCAGGCCCTAGGATGAGGAGTCGGGCTTGATAACCAGTTTATGGCCTTGGCCCGGGAAAGGTGTTTCCTGCCAGTCCTGGCCCTGCCGGTCTTAACAATGCATGTGCAGAGCCTGACATTCCTACCAGGGGTGCAGTCATGCCCAGAGCCATACCGGGGGAGGTGAAGCAGAACTTAAAGCTTCTTCATCCCCTCTCCAAGTGGGAGCCTCCTGGTGTTCCTCAGGGCACAGATGAATGGCTGCAAACTCCTGATTTGGAGAGCTTCAATCTAGAAAGACTGTTGTGGCCAGGCGTGGTGGCTCATGCCTGTAATGCCAGCACTCTGGAGTAGGAGCGGTTACTCAAAAGGTCAGGAGTTCAAAACCAGCCTGAGACAAGAGCGAGACCCCGTCTCTAATAAATAGAAAGAAAATAATGGCCAACTAATATATATTATATATAAAAAATTAGCCGGGCATGTGTGCAGCCTGCATAGTCCAGCTACTCGGAGGCTGAGGCAGGAGGATTGCTTGAGCCCAGGAGTCTGAGGGTGCTGTGAGGCTAGGCTGACGCCACGGCACTCCATCTAGCCTGGGCAACAAGTGAGACTTGTCTCAAAAAAAAAAAAAAAAAAAAAAATAGACTTGTTCTCAGTGGTCCTCCTTGGGGTGCTCACTGGGGAGTAGGCGCCGTGCGCTGCCTCTCACAGTGCCATGTGGCATCTCTCTGGAGGTGGCAGTGCTTTTACTCGTGCTATCTTGTTGGGGCTTACCAAATGGCATAAGCCTTGCCATTTATAGTCTTTAGTTTTTTATTTTATTTTTTTAAGAGACAGGGTCTCACTCTGTTGCCTGGGCTGGAGTACAGTGGCACGATCATAGCTCCCTGCAGCTTTGTACTCCTGGGCTCAAAGGGTTCCTCCCACCTCAGCCTTCCCAGTTTCTGGGACTAGAGACACACCACCAGTTTGGCTAAATTTTTAATTTTTTTTTGTGGAGATGTGGTCTTGCCTACTTGCCCAGGCTGATCTTGAACTCCTGGCCTTAAGCAATCCTCCCACCTTGGCCTCCCAAAGTGCTGGGATTACAGGCATGAATCACTGTGCCTGGCCCATTTATGATCTTTATTTTTGATGGAGAAAGATTGCAGTGTAAATAAGGCCATAGGGAAAGTTGGTGGGGCAGTCTCAGGAGAGTTAAAAACGTGAGTTGCTGCTTTAATCCCAAGCACTCACCTGGAGGCCACCCTAGGCCTCAGAGGAAGGAAGCAGAGGGAGGTGTAGAGGTGACAGGGAAGACAAGAGCTAGGTGTATGTCATGCCTTCCTAACAGGGTGATAGCTGTTGGGGAGAGGTGCCCAAAATATCTTGTTCTTTTTATATATGAAGCGTAGATACACAGACAGTGTACAAACAGATGCACAGCCTGTCTCGGGGGCGGTGATGACCAAAATGCATATAGAGAAGCTTCAGCAGTGGGCTGGGGACGGCTGCCTCCCCTGATGGCAGACTCCCAGGCTGCCTTGTGAGAGGATGAGTCAGTGTTTAGGTGGGTTTTGCAAATAAAAAGTACGTGTAGGACCAGGCACTTCCAGCCTTCCCTGCCAGGCTCTGTGGTCTAGGAGCCATGGGGTAGACGCAGGGTTACGGTGGCATGATGGCAGATCAGCCCGACTGTGTCGCCCGTGTGAGTGTGTGGCCTCCCTAGTCATCAGTCTCACTGTCCCCTCTCAGGGCAGGCTCAGGAGAGCTGGCTGGACAAGTGGCACTGAGCAGACCCAGTGTTTTTACGAGGTTGATCTTGTCACTGGGAAAGTTGGAACTAGCATGTCAAGTGGGAGGAGGCTCTTGCTTTTGGTCTGAGGCTGGCAAGGTTCCCACCTTGCACCTGTCTCTCACAGCTCCGTACCCCGTGGGCAAAGTTGGGTGTGCACGGGAGGCTTTGACTGCAGAGTCGGGAGCAAAGAAGGCACGGTGGCGGGGCTGTTTCTCCTGGACCATCCGGGCAGGGCTGCCAGGGAGCGGGGGAGGGCGGCCTGCCCACTCCTGTGGGCCTGTGAATGGCCTGCATGCCAGTGGGCGGTGCCAGTGACAGAGCGGTGCACACAGGCAAGCAAGTGGCTTTGATGTGGCCCTCTGGAGGGGAGGAGACAAGCCCATTACAGGAACAGGCAGCAGGGCCTCGTCACCTCTTACCCAAGATGTTCTTGGAAATGCTCTTGCTCCGAGTGAGAATTAGGAAATGGTCTTCTATTTTAGGAGCGTGGTGTGTATTACATACTGTTGACTTGCCTGTAATGAGCATGCGTGTCCCAGGGCACTTTGAAAGGGCCACGCTAGCGGAGGCATGTCATGGTGGAGACCCTGAGGAGGCTGGCCTGTGAAGGGTGCCCAGAGGAGACTGCGTCCACGGCCACACTGATGCTAGGCCGGGTTTTCTGGGATGGGTGTCCTCAGCGTGGGGAGGGTATGTCGTGGGGGGAGTCTGGAGACCAGGCTCAAGTCTGGGCTCTCGCCATGAGGAAGGAAGTCTCGGGGAGCAGATGTCCTTGGGACGTTAGGTTTTGGGAATAGTCTTTTTAGGAGAGATAGTTCTGATGGGGGCTGGGCCATGAAACAGGCCCTGGAACTCTGGGGAGGGCACAGGATGGGGCGCAGAACCCAGTGCCTGCGTTTTGTCATCTCAGGTGGCATTTCAGGATTCTGAGAGTTCCCATGACCTTTGTTACAGAAACGTCAGCATGGTGTGGTTCTCATTGCCACACAGGCTGCTCCTCCTGTGCCTTGCATTTTCTCTGACTGTGGTATTGACAGGCTCATTTCCTGGCAGAGAGGGGAGACAGTGCTCTCTGGGTGTTGTGGCCCCGATGGGCTGCCTCGTGCAGCCTGGATGGTCCCAGCCCCAGGGCCAGTGACAGCAGAGGTCTCATTTCTGTGATTTCTTTTGGGCTTTGTAGTTTTTCTGGTGTGTGACGGCCTGGAATAGGGGGCCGGGTTGGGGAGACTGTGTCCCTAAGTGGGAAGGGCACAGATGTCCTACCCAGAACCTATAGCTAGGCAGCCAACCTTCCAGCTGACCTGTTCTTCCCAAGCACCTTTGTCACCGTGTAACCAGCCCCAAGTGTGCTGGCTTAGGTAGGAAGGACTGCTCTTTCTACCTGCCCTGTTGAACACGGTGGTGGCTTCTCCCTGAGCAGTAGGTGTGCTCTGACCTGCGCTCCTTCCCTGGTGCTTGCAGGAAGACACGACTGGGCCTCTGGCCGGCGTGGGCTGGGAGCTTAGCCGGCAGCACCAGCAGGCTGGGATGTGGCCGAGGCAGTGTAGAGAGGGGAATTTGAGGCCCTTAACTCTCTGGGGAGATGCTGTGGGGAGCGATCGGGGTAGGGGTGTTTGTGGGCAGGCCCTGGAGACACATCACCAGGTTCCCTTTGGGTACCCCATTCTTGTCCCACCTGGGCAGTGAGGTCAGGGTGCAGAGTGGCAGGCGCAGAGAGCAGCGATTGAGCTGAGGCATCCATGAGGGCCAGGCTGTGCCGTGCCCAGGCTGTGCCCTGGCCCCATGCGTCCCACGGCACCTGGGTAGGGGTGGAAGGGAGTGTCCTAGCTTAGCCTACTGCCCTGTTTGCAGCGGCCACCTCGTGTCCCATGAGCCTGTGGTCAGCTGCTTTTCTCTTAGGTTGAAACAGTGCATGGAGAAGACTTCAGCAGATGCTGTGCTCATTTCCTGTCTGCACGTTTGCTTTTCCCTGCAGGCCTCTGGCTGTACCTGGCAGGGAGCAGCCTGCCCTGTCTCACGCTGATTGGCTCTCCTAATTTTGGGTACAGGTCAGTTCACCGGGACCTGGAGGCCCAGATTGCCATTGTGACGGAGAACCGAGCCCTGCAGCAGCAGCTTCACCAGGTTGGTCAGAGCAGGTGGGGTTCCCTGGGGTGCGTGGGGTGTAGCTGGGGCCTTGCACACGTGGCCAGGCTGTCCTGAGCTGATATGGTGAGTGGGGTACAGAGCAGAGTAAGGATGACGCGGGTCCGTGTGAGTCTGCAGTGATGGGGTGGCCGGCCTTGGAGAGAAGCCTGCCACAGGACCACCCTTTGAGGGCCATGCCCGCGACCGCGGCAGCTGCCCCCCAGCCAATCCCCCGCACTTCTTCCCTGCACTGGAAGGGACTGCCGTTTTCTCATGGGCTGTGAATAATGCGGCCCAGGAGCCTGCCTCTCTTCTGGGAGTTAGGGCTGGCTGTTAGAGTCTGCAGCGGTTTCTGCCTCCTTTGGTCCTAGTTGTAATCTTTTTTTTTTTTTTAACGGTAGGAGTGACCTTGATTGGTTTCAATCCGTTACAAGAGGAGGAGCTAGGACACCTCCTGCTTTTGGGGCGGTCTGTAGTCCTGCTGTCCCCCTCCGTTTTTTCTTGTTCCCTCTTTTTTTTTTGAGACAGAGTCTCACTTTGTTGCCCAGGCTAGAGTGAGTGCCATGGCGTCAGCCTAGCTCACAGCAACCTCAAACTCCTGGGCTCAAGCAATCCTCCTGCCTCAGCCTCCCGAGTAGCTGGGACTACAGGCATGCGCCACCATGCCCGGCTGATTTTTCCTATATAAGTTGGCCAATTAATTCCTTTCTATTTATAGTAGAGACGGGGTCTCGCTCTTGCTCAGGCTGGTTTCAAACTCCTGACCTTGAGCAATCCACCCGCCTCAGCCTCCCAGAGTGCTAGGATTACAGGCGTGAGCCACCGCGCCTGGCCTTTTTTTTCCTCTTTAAAGTAGGTAATAGAAGGTTACTAGGAGTTTATTAGTGCTTTATGTGAATCTGTTTTTGATAACCAGCAACCATGCTGGTGGACGTTTGGGATGGAAGCACATTACCCTCGTGTGTGAGCCCTAGATGGGCCTCTGGGTTCATGAGTTGTGACCTTTATAGTCACACCTTTCCACACAAGGAGCCAGCTTCCCTTCCCGAGTCGAGGGCATGCAGGTAGCACTGCTGCAGGCCACCTCGGAAGCATCAGGTGCTGACTTTGTTAAGCTTCTACATGCTGGGGTTTGGGAACTGCTGCTGCAGGATTGTCAGGGCCTTTGTCGATGGGACCAGGAAATGCCGACTGCCGGATTCCCTAGGATCTGCCCTCCTGCAGCCTGGGAACCTCGTCAGTGACGGCGTGGGGCCATGGTGCCAGGCAGGGCTTCGTGACCAGGCATAAGGGGAAGTTACAGTGGTCATGCCCTGGGTGGCCAGTGGGGTCACTGGATTCGTTCAGCAAGTTTCCTCCTGCAGTGAGGTTTCCAGCAAATGACTGAGGAACCCCCACAGCTGAGAGATTCCAGTAATAGGGTCACAGCTGGCCTTGGAGCCAGGCGAGTGGGAAAGACATGAACCTGCAGCTTTCAGCAGCAGGGTCTCCGGGCTTCTTGCCTCAATTGCAGAGAGAGCCCTAGCTGCCTCCGTTGGTGAGGCTCTGCTCCAAGTTGGTGGAGAGTCGCTGGTGACTTTGGCCTGGGGCCAGGGTGTGTTTCGCATGGATCTGGGGTGACTTGGGGTAGCAAGTCCCCCAGGCCTGTGCCTAGTGTCCTGGTATTGACTATTTCCCCCTATTTCCCGAGTAAGGGAACTGAACCCACATCCTGGATCTTGAGAAAAGCTGGAGCCGGTTGTGGTCAGGAGCTGCTTTCTCAAATGACATATTTGGGATATTTTTCTTCCCAAACCTGAATCCCAGGAGCTTTTGATTGTGGGAGGGTGGTAGCTCATGCTGCTGTAGCTCTTCCATTCTTTAGAGATAGATTGATTTTTGTGCCCATGAAATGCAGAAAAAGTACATTTCTAGATAGTTCTGCCTATATACTTATGTACTGGGACTGCAGATGCTCTTCTGGGCCCTGCAGTGCCTGGTCTCTAGAGGACCAGGTCTTGCTGGGACTGCCCAGCCATACAGCCTCCCTGTAGCCCAGAAAGTCCCTAAAATCCCAGCTGCCGGGGCTCCCTGCTCTCAGAAGCCACCTCTTGAGTTCTTGCAATCCAGGCAAGGGCCCTATCCGTGTCACGTTGAACAGTGGGAATGGGGAGATATTTTTATCAGAATCTGAAGTCCCTTCCTTCTCTTAGTGCATGCAGTAAAAACTGAAAGCTTCCTGGTTTTGTTCAGAGAACATGGTTTACCACTTGTGACCCAAGAAATACTCCCATGAACAGCATTGTAACCTCGATCAGCTGACTTCCTTCTCCATCCCTGTTGTGGAGTCTATGAGGAAACTTAAGTGTTTCTGGTAATTTAATTGAAATCTTGGCTGGGCATTCATTTGAAAACATAAAGCTGGAGCCGGGTCTGTGGAGACTTCTCCAACCAGTCCCCCGAGACCAGAGCTGGCTCCTCTGTCAGGCACATCCAGCTGGGGATTTGGACCTTGGCAGCAGCAGTTAGGAGGCCAGAGAATGAGGCGCCCTCATCCGTGACATGTGGGTTGTGGGTCTTCTCTGTCTGGAAGTGCCACGTGGACCCACGCGGGGGCTGTGAGCACGGGAAGGGTGCAGGAAGAAAGGATGTTGGGACACCAGCTTCCCCCAGCCTTTGATGGGAAGAGCCGAGGACACGTTCTGTAGTGTCCCGGAAGGCGAGGGGTCCTCGTCCAGCTCTCGTGGGGCAGAGGAGCTGCCAGGGGTGCGTCTTCCCTTCCTGCTTCCAGACCAGAAAGTGATCGCTCACGCCCCTGGTCCCACAGTTGGCAAAGCTCTTTCCTGGCCGTCGTCACGTGCTCCTACGGATGCTGTGTAGTTATGGCCTGAGACTCAGAGGGACCTTGGAGCGGAGTGGCGGAGTCAGAGAGCTTGGAAGCTTCGTCAGATACATTGTTGAGGAAAACAGCTCTATTGGGGTAGATTTTCTCATAAAAGAGACAGTTTCTCTTCTCAAAGATCTTTTTTTTTGGAGACAAGAGTTTCACTCTGTTGCCCGGGCTAGGGTGTCTTGGTGTCAGCCTAGGTCACAGCAACCTCAAACTCCTGGGCTGAAGCAATCCTTTTGCCTCAGCCTCCCACGTAGCTGGGACTACAGGCACGTGCCACCATGCTCAGCTAATTTTTTCTATGTATATATTTTAGTTGGCCAATTAATTTCTTTCTATTTATGATAGAGATGGGGTCTCGGTCTTGCTCAGGCTGTTTTCGAACTCCTGACCTTGAGCGATCCTCTCGCCTCGGCCTCCCAGAGTGCTAGGATTACAGACGTGAGCCTCCATGCCTGGCCTCTTCTCAAAGATCTTAAACACAATTTAAGACAAAGCACATATCTGTTTTTTTAAAATGTGGTTTTAAATATGAAAGAAATAAATGTTCACTGTAAAAATTAAAAATTAGAAGAAACTAACCCTCTTATCCAGAGATAGTCACTGAAATCATTTTGATTCCCTCTTTTGTTCTGTGTATATTTGAAGAGGCATACTTTTAAAAAAATAAGATTAGAATTATACTGTGTACATGTATTTCATGTCTACCTTTCACCTAGTAATTTTGTGTGCTTCCCATATTATTAGATAAATATTCTCTATAACATGGTTATCTCATGGTGAGATAGTGTATCATAAAAGGGGGGTTTATTAATAAGTTGGCTGTTGGACATTTAGGTGGTTTCCAGTTTTTCCCTATTATAAATACTGTGATAAATATCTATATACAAAAATCTCAGTGCATAGTTCTGAGTGCATAGATATTTTCTTGGGATAAACTCTTGCAAGTGGAGCTTTGTCAGTCTCCTAATACCTGTTGCCAGATTGTTCTCTGGAAAGATGGTTCGGTCCCTGTTTGCATCAACAGTGCACGAGAGTGCCTGTTTCCTAAGCCTTCATCAGCACAGGATAATGATATCACAAAACAACTTTTTGCCAGTTTGATAGAAGAAAAACTATGTCTCATTTAAAAATATCTCATTATTTTACTTTGTGCCACCTCATTTAGTAAAGGTGAACATTTAAAATATTTTCTCCCATTAGCTATATTTCTTCAACTCTTAATTAGAGTTGTTTAGAGTTTCATACAAGTTTTTGTCTTAAAAGTCTTCAGGAACATGGGCTTCAGAGCTTTTCTATGGAATGTTTCACAGCGACTTGCAGGGGCTGCCTCCCCTGCTGCCAGAGGCCCTGCTGAATCTTTGGGTCAGTAGGCTTGTCGAGTTGGTGTTTTCCAGGCTGCTCTGAGGGCCTCAGACCAAGCCGTGTTATATGGTGTTGGAGGGGCTCCTAACTATTCCTGTCCCTCTTCCTCAGGAGCAAGAGCAGCTCTACCTGAGGTCAGGTGTAGTATCCTCCGCCACCTTTGAGGAGCCAAGTCGGCAGGTGAAGCTGTGGGTGAAGATAGTGACTCCACTGATCAAGAACTTCTTCTGAGGACAGACAGGTACACGGTACGTCTCTAGTGCCGCCTCTCAGTGTGCTTACAAATGAGTAGGGCAGGTGACAGTTCCTACCCAGCCAGAGCTCCCGGGGCCTCCCAGATTAGCCCTCTCATCCCTTCCCTGGTATCTCCAGGGGCCTGGACTGGCTACTGTCAGTGTTTGAAACCTGGTGCTAAATTAGGCAGCCTGTTTCACCTCCTATCAGGTGTCCCCTGCACTGAGTCCCAGGGCTGCCCCAGGTGGGGCTGCCAGCCATAGTCCCCTCCCACCCTCCTTCCCCCTGGGGAGCTGAGCGTGCTGGCGTGGGAGCATAGGAGGCGCTGGATGTGGAGGGGAGGAAGTTCTCCTGGTTGGGAGAGCAGCTCTGGCTCGCTGCCCTGGCCAGCTGCAGCTCACAAGGGTGAGGTGTTGACGGAGCCAGACCTTGGGGCTGCTGCCTGCCCCCTCCCTGACGTTTCTGTGACGCACGGTTGCAGAGCTGCGATGTTCTAGACGCACTGGCAGTTGAGTAACAGGACGTGCTCTGCCTGCCCAGAAGGAACCTGCTGCTTCCAGAGAGGCACGGGCTGGGTCCCACAATCACCTGAGCTACCTTTTGGCTGTGTAGACACCTGGAGGTCTGGGCAGGGGGTGGCCACTGCTAGAGGTGGGGTCTCTCTGGAGTGACCCTCTGTGTTCCAGATTCCTCAGGACCCTGACTGCACCCTAGATGGGACTGGGCTCCCGAGGCTGGCTGGGTCTGGGGGTTCTGGGCACTGTCAGCCTGAACGGCTGGGCCTTTGGCTGTGGGGAAGGGAGAGAGGAATCAGAAACAGGAACACAAGGCCGTGCGGTGGGTGCGTGTTTGCAGTGTGGGCTCCCTCAGATCCTGCCACCCTGGTTCTCCTCTCTGCCTTGTTTAAAGAAGTTTGTATTTCATTGTGTGGTTTTCCCTCATTATTTAATTTTAATTTTATTATTTAAGTAATTACAAATTTAGGGAGTAAAATAGTACTAAAAGACCAAGAGAGTGCAGCTGTTTCCTGCCCTTCCTTCCCTCAAGTAGCCACTTTTGATTTGTTTTTTTGAGATTCACACATATCCATATTTCTATATAAAATGTATGTACTGCTATATTTCCCCTGTAAAATATAGATTCTCAACAAAACTGTACCAGAACGACACCTGTTAAAAAAAATGAACAAGAATTCCTTAGTATCAAGTCCTCAGAAGGTGTTCACAGTTTGATTGCCTTATAAATATTTATTTCATTTTATTTTTTTTATTTGACTTGAGGTCCAGATAAGATTTGTACCTGCAATGTACGGATATTTCAGCTGAATCTCTTTTAATGTGTATGTTCCTTTTTCCCCTTGCAATTTGTTTTTTGAAGAATGAACCTCTTTTGGATCTACTTAAAACATTCTTGTGACACCTTCTCACAGCAGGGCACCCTGGATACATGTGTCCTGTGTCTTTGTAAAAGCCACCCCCTTCCCCACCAGGCTCTCCGGAGCCGATTCTGACCACAGTGCCCAGTGTCTCTCCAGGTGCTCGTCGCCTCTGCAGAGAAAGGCCTTTCCACCCAGAAGCCTCTGGGACTCCAGGGCATGGCAGCCTGTCCTTTAGGGAGTGAGATTGGATTCTGTCCCTGCTCTTTGTCTCTGGAAGCAGCTTCTCACCCTTCCCTCCCAAGGGCTGGTGGCAGCAGCTGCTGTCACCCTTCATGGGGCCTGAAAGGCTGTAGCTGGCCAGCCTTGCTGTGTACCCAGGACTCAGTGCTGGGAGCACCCTGGTCTTAGACAAGGACAGCTGCAGATCCCCCACCCTCCGGCAGACCTGCTGGTTTCAGTGGTTGGGAAAGGCAGTGGCTGTGGCCATACTGCCCTGGGGTAGCATCACATCAGTTAACACTGTTTGCCTTCAAACTAGTTATTAAATTGTCCTGCGGGACAATTAGACTGGAGGAGCCAAAGGAACATGCTGGGGCACAGGGATTCTGTTTGGAGAGAGGCTTTCGGTAAACAGAGCTCGCATTTCTGCAGATGCTCTGGGACCAGAGTAAACATCATTGTGCCACAGCCAGGCTTGAGCAATCTGCTGTGGTGCTCTCCGCACCCCACTGCTCCCTTTGTCTCCGCTGACAACCTTCAAGGCTGTCCTCAAGGCTGTCCTGGGCAGGTGCTCTCCCCGACTCCACAAAGCTGCCTGGGGAGGCAGAGAGACAAGCTGGGCGGGGGGCACCCCACTTCTCCCAGTTGTGGGGCTTTTGTTCCAATCCCTGCTTTCTCTGCCACTGGAGTGTAACCCAAAGGTGAATCATCTCTTGGAAAGTTTGGAGATAATTTTGTCAACTACCCACAATATGTACGTGTGGAGTAAATTACTGTTTTATTTCAGGATCTAAAGGCAAAATTGGAAAAACTTCACATTTTGTGGTTATTACCAGGGATTGGAATGAGTTGCTTGGTGGCCACTACAGTTTCATCTCCCCTGGTCAAGAGTGGCCTGTCCCCCCCAGCCTGGACTGAGAAGGGCTGCAGCGACCCCTCCTGGCCAGCAGAGGTAGTTGCCCAGCAGCCAGGCCACTTGGCTTCAGCCACCTTCTGGGCCACCACCCTAAGGGGCTGGATTCCCTGGGCCCCAGGAAGGGAAGGTTTGAGGGGTGTTTTTCCTTATCCCTCTGGTAGACCCACTAGGCCCTAGGATTGCTGTGAATTATTACAGCCGCAGCTTGCACCTCTTTTTCACCCATGGTTTGGGTGAGTATACTTGGAAGACCATTTTCACCACACTTCAGAATGATATTCCCAGAGGGTTCCCTTTAAGCCCTAAGAAACACTGGAAGTTTCAGGTCACAGTCCCCGTGGGGTCCATCTTTTCTGAAGTCTGGGCTCTATGAGCTGTCGTTCCCCCCCCCCACTTCAGTTAGTCATCTCTCCTCGGGTCTGCGTCTGGCTGCCCAGCTACTTTGCTGAAATGTCCTGCATCAGCATGGCCACAAAGTCCTAAAGGTCTGGGTTTACTTCCTTCTGCTGAGATCTTTTCAGACAGAACAGTGGGGGCCTGAGGTTAAGCCAGGTCTCAGGGCAGCCCTTTGACCAGTACCACCAGTGGCTGCCCATTTCCTGGAGGCAGAGGGACTGCTGCTGTCCGCTGGGGCACACAGAAGTTCACATCTGTTTGTGCACCGCCTTTCTGCCTTACGGCACAGTTGTTTCCTGAGCCTTCCCTCCGCGCAGGTTGGGGTGTCTGTTTTTATTGTGGTTCTGTAGATTCCTGTGCCACAGATGTGGAAGAGCCTCACCCATCCTTGGTTTCAGCCTGTGCCTGGAACTGGGCGGAAACTGCCACTGGGCATCCCGAACCCATGGCAGCCTTACAGGTGCCATGGGCGTGCGTCTGACTGCTCTGCACAGCCCTGGCTCACCCAGCCTGCAAGTTGGGCAGGAAGTGGGCACTGATGGCCGGGGGAGGGAACGTAAGAACCGGTGACCTCCCAGGACACAAGTTTAAGGTAGTCCCTACATGTCCAGTGATTAGGAGGTGCTTCAGCTACATGGAACTGGCACCTGTGTGGGATAGTTTGTTCTTCCAAATTGCGGTAGTGGGGCTGGGGCAGGCACACCATAATTACAAAGGCTCTTCTTGTCCTCGAGAGAAGGGAACATTGCCTGAGGAGACACGGTGTGTGGAGGTGGTAGCTCGTGTTTGAGGGAACGCCCTCTCCCCTTTCTGGTGGGTCATTTGCATCTAGCATCAGGCCAGGTGATGTGACTGCCACATGCTGCTGCTATTAAAAAATAATACTGACTGATCCCCCTGGGGATTTAGGGGTTTGGTTCCTGGGATTCTTGCTGCTGGGAACTGAAGCCTCCTCACCTCAAGCCGGGCCCCTTGGTGGTTCTCAGGCATGAACTGAAGGCTGGGCAGGTCAGTCAGACAAGCAGCTTAGTGGCTCCAATAGTTTACTCTGTATTGCCTTGTTCATGCTAACCTCCACCCCCTGGTTAGTCCAGACACACGTGGTTGTAAAGCACCTTGATTATTTAATAGAGAACAAAAAACAACCAAAATAAGGAACGGTTGCAGGGCTGGGTTTCGAGTTGGAAATTCTGAGTTGTGGTTAGGTTGCCGATCTGCCCCGGGGTGTTTGGACCTTGAGTCGAGCTAAACCTGTAAGAGCAGCGCCACGGCTGCCAGGATCCACTTCGCTGCCTTCTCTTTGGTCTTCAGGTTAAAGGTCCAGACGTAGGTGGGGCCTCGGATGCGTGTTTTGTATACGGGACACTCATATATGTTCTTGGTGTCCATGCGGTCCACAGGAATGGCCTTGATGAAGATGACAGGCATGGCCGGCGTCAGCTCCTTCAGCCGTGCTTCGGCGATGACTCCGGTCTGGGTGTCCCAGCGAGCTCCTGCGGGGATAGCACGGCTGAGGGTCAGGTGGCCCTGGGGAGGTGACCGTGTCCCGTCTAGTGTGCTGCCAACAAGTGAGAGGAGGGGCTGGAAGGGCCCTTGAACCTCCCCACCCTCTGCAGAGATGGGCTCTGCCCCCCAGAGCTCAGGCCGGGTGCCAGGCTGGTCTGGCACAGAATTTGCTGCACGTGGAGTTGGGAGCGGAGGACGTCATAGGTAATCATGTGCATGTTGTAACTGCCCCACGTGTCTCGCTATGCACTGAGGAACAGCTCAGCACTCAGGCTCTTGGGTTCCATCCCTTTAAATTTGTGGTGTCTTCAGAGCCTCATCTGCGAGCCTTCTTAATTACAGTGGCAGGAAATCATAGCTCCACTTGAGAATCAGAGCTTCACGTTCCCTGGCTCCCTTCGTGTGTCATGCCCGTCCTGTGTGCGCGGCACAGATTATACATCTATGCATATATTATTCACTTTTAAGCAGACTTATTTTTACTCGCTCTATTTAATGATGTTTATGTTTCTTGTCTAATTCCAGAATAAACATGGAGAGTGGCTGCTGCTGTGTTTGTCTTTGGTGATGTGGGAAACGAGGTACCTGAGCCTTTTCGGGCCTGCACCCCACAGATAGCGTCAGTTGTTGAAGGGGACAGAGGTTGTGGTGGAGGAAACAGCCTGACCCACTGGCTGACTCTGGGTAGCAGGACAGGGTGATATGGGGGCAAATGCTACTAGGCGTCCTAGTCCCTCCTGCTGTTGGGTCCTGGCCATGCAGAGGGGCTCCAGAGGCCAGCTGGGACGTGGATGGGAGCACAGGTGGAGGTGCTACTGTGCCCTAGCTCATCTATTCGGGGCTCCAAGGATGGAAGGGCCGAGTTTCTCATCGCCTCTGAATGGCGTTAAGCCTCCCCATAAGCACAGCCCAGGCCCCAGGTGGGGGTTTGGTCTCCTGCAGAGTCTGGGAATCCTCTCCGCCCTCGCTGCTGGTCAGCGCAGCTCCAAGGGCCTGCCTCCTACCGCCTGTCTTGGCCAAGAGCTAGTTTTATCTCCTCCCATGGCTCTGGAAGCTTCCTCCTCACCTTCCATGAAGAGCCCGTACACGTAGGAGCCCTCGCGGGGGGGAGCAGTCATGTCCTCCCGAGTTTTCTTGGTCACTTCCACAGACAGACACATCTTGTCCAGGGGCCACTCGTTCTTCCTGGCCATGGACTGCATGATGGCCGTGAGGAAGGACTGGGGGTTGAAGAACCCAGCCAGCCACACGGTGGTGGGGAGGGCGAAGTCTGTCGTCCAGGCCTCGAGTTCCTGGGAGGAGAGGGACGTTGCTGAGCCGTGGTCATGCAGTCGGCAGATCGCTGGGAAGCCCAGCTGCCGTCTGTGACGGAGCTCTGCTGTCCGGCTCTGTTCTCAGTGATGCGACAGGAAGAGAAGGGGCACAGAGAGAATGGCTTAGCACTGAAGGATAATTCAGGATCCCGAGAGAGGCTTCTGCCTTGGCCACCTAGCTCCTCAGGGAGGGTGGCTTACCTTGAACGTTTCGCTTGAGGGACAGCTGAGGGAGCCGTTTCCTCCTTTAGGAGGAAGTGACTGCGTTGTCATGGCGTCTGAGTGGCGTGGACCGGGCAGAGGCCCGGCCAGCAGGAGCGTCCGTCACGGCCACGCTTCTATAGGCTCTGGGGTGTGCTGAGCCTGGGCGTTCGGGTCCCCATCCCCAGTCTGGCAGCGGCTGAGAGGAAGCGGTACTTACCCTGATGCGGAGCAGCAGGTCGGCGTACCAGGCTGCCAAGCCCATCATGGAAGGGTAGGCCCGGGCCACCCACGTTTCCGGCACGGTGTCATAAAAGAGAGCCGTGGACAGGTCTTCCATGTCGGTGGTGATGGTCAGCTCCCCCTGAGGAACACACGGGTGCAGGGGAGCCAGCCTCGCGCGCCCACTCGGGAGGGAGGGGGGAGAGCACAGCCCCCAGTGTGTGCTGTGAGTTGCCAGCACGGCGTGGCTTTGCGCGGTGTCTCTAGAGACGCCCTGTGTGAGGGCCACGCCGGCATTTCCTGCTAGGGAGCATTCAGGACATCTGCCGCGGCTTGTTCTAGAGCGCCTAGAACCCCAGCCCCGTGAGTGCAGGGGAGTGATGACATGCCAGCCCACGGCCCAGGCTCCCCCAGGCCCGGGTTTACCGCTGGTTTTGCAACCACGCCACGTCCTTGGGGGCCCAGCAGACCCACATTCTGCGTACCTTCAGCCCCAGGTTCAGCTCCTTTAGTGAACGACGCATCTCATTGGTCAGGATGTTCATTCTTTCACATTCTTGAAAAGCCACTACCACGTAGGGGGTCTTCTCAGCTGCCTTTGCCATGATCTCGGCCATGTTGAACGTCTCCGGGATCTTCTCGAGGATTTCGTCCAACACAGACTTCACCTGGAAGTCAGTCCCTGTCACTGCATGGTCACCAAAGCAGGGCGCCCTCCTCACAAGTGACAGGGTCACAGAGTGCGGCCACACCCTTGACGGGGACGGGAGCCTCGGCCCGCAGGCTTTGACTGCTCTGGTCCCACTGGCGAGGCCCGTGGCCGTGCACAGGTCAGGCCAGGTGGCCCCACGCCTCCTGGACGTTCCCAGTGCACTGGCTTTCTTCCCGCCGTGAGATTCACCCAGCAGTCACACGACTGTGACTCTGTCCTCCTTGTGGGCTGTCTGTGGGGACCGTGCTGGTCTCACCCTCCCAAGGAGTGGCCACGAGGTGGTCACCTGCACCACCATCCATCAGTCAATTTCTAATTTCAATCATCAGACCAAGAAAAGGTCCTGGGTCTAGTTACTGTGAAGGCCAGTGCGTGGGTAATACGTAATAGAACTTTTCCAGAACATGTTAAGTGCAGAGGTGCTCATGACATGGCACAGAGGTGGCTCAGACAAGCGAGCATCTCTTGTGTGCGCCTGCATCCTCTGAGCCTTGTAATCCATGTCAGCAGGCCCTGCCCATTGTGGTCACTAAGCTGCTCCAGAAGGGCTGCTCTTACACGGCAGACTGCCCCTCTCGGGCCACACCGCGGCTCTCGCACAGGCAGGGCGAGGTTGGAAACGCTCAGCTGGGGAAGCTGGAAGACTGTGGGAGGTGGGCGCGGACCACCCCTCTCTAGGCCTTGCTCACACTGAGCCCGCAGTCCCTGTGGCTGGGGACCTGTTAACCTGCTTGCGGGCCCCACCCCGTAGTTTCTGATCCCAGAGGCCTTGCGAACAAGCGCCCGCTGGGGACCTCCCCAGCCCCTGGTTGGACCAGGAGGACCCTCAGTCTTCCGTCGCTCGGGGATGGGTACACTAAGGAGCCTGCCTTCTCCTCTCGAGACACTCCTGTGCCTGCTCCCGAGTCGGTCTCCTTGGGCTGCATTTCCAGCACGGTGCGGAACAGCTTCTCTGAGGTGACCGTCAGAAAGCCAATCTCTGCGTTGGGGTGCAGGCCGTACAGATAGGGACTCTCCGGGGGGAGGTTCTCGTCGATGTATTCGTGGTAACCCTGGAGAAGGGGCGGTGCGTGAGCGGGCGGCAAGGCCAGGCTGTGCAGGCTGCGACCCGTGTCCTCTGTGCGGATCCCTCTTGTTCCCCGACCTGTCCGTGGCCTGCCCCCTTTGCTCCCCAGCCGCAGGACGGAAATTTCCACTCCCCCTTCCCCGAGGCTCCTTTCTCATCCTCGCCTGTGTTGGCTGTCTGGGTACTTACTCAATTATTGATATCCCATTTGTGATGCCGGCTCTCACCGGGGGCCAGCCCTTACGCATTAACCTCCGCTGCCGTCGCGTCAGAGTGAGCGGCATCCTCACCTTGTAGTCCAGGTTAGGGGGGATCTGGAACCCGGGGGCCAGGTGGACATCCCCCTCCAACATCTCTGCGCGGATGTACTCGGCCAGGTAGGTCCTGCACAGCCGGCGGTCCCAGTCGTCCGTGATGTGGCCACCGTACATGATTTCACCAAAAAGGTAGCGGAGATCGTCCCAGGGCACCTTGGGAAAGATGGATGCAGTTAGGGGAAGGTACCCCCGCCAGGCTCAGGTGGTCCACCGGGCGCTTGCAGGCCAGCTACTCTACGAGCCGTCTGCTGCTGTTTCCCCTCCCGCCAGGCGGTTCAGGTCGACCAGGTGCAAGGGCCACCCTTCTCCCCCTCCGGTGTCTGACTCGGCTGGCCAGCCCCTCCTCTGCTATGCTCTCCCCTTGGCTTCTCCCTCCGTCTGGGACTGAGCTCCCACACCTGCTCTCTCTCTGCACTCTGCCTCGATGGTGGCGCCAGGGCTCTTGTGCTGGTGCCACAGACGCTCTGGCCTGAGTCAGTGCTCACTCCCCGCCTCCCAGTTACGGTCTGTGACTGCCCCATCATGTCCACTGTCAGCAAGAGCCGTTTAATTCCGTGTGGTGAGAGTTGGCTCAGGCACCATGTGTCTTTCTGGCTGTGAAGTCCAGTCAGTCATGTCTTCCAAATGCTTCGAGTGGGTCTGCCTCAGATCCCCCCGAAATCATCCTGGCTCTGCCATTCTGTGCAAATCACGTTATTGCGGGTAGCTCCTGTGCCTCGGGGGTCTCTGCAGTTGCACAGATGGCTTGGAGCAAAGACCAAACTTGGCCTTGTGCACACACGCTCTCACCACCAGGCCAGGCGGCTTCTCTGGCCTCATCTCTTGCCATGTCCCTCCACTCATCCTGCCCTCTGGCTGTTCCTGCTGTCCCCACGCTTCCTTGCCATTTCCCGGCACCGAAGCCTCTGCTCCTCTTCCTTCAAAGCCTGGCGCCTGTGCGGCCGCTTCCGAGAAGCCAGGGACTCTGCTTCCAGCCTCCACGCGTCCCGGCCTGTAGCCTGTCACCCCCTGCACGGTGCTGCCAGTGGAAGTGCAGTGGGAGCCACGGATGTGATTCCAAGCTTTCTAGCGGCCACTTAAGATCATTCCCACATGTAATCTGTATAAAAGTTACTAGCAGGGTACTTTACATTCTTTCATCAGTACCGAGCTTTTGAAATGCAGAGTGCGCTCGCACACGCCGCCCCTCACTGTGTGCGGCTGGTGGGCACCACGGCACTGGCAGTCCCGTGTGGGACCGCGCCGCTTGCGGTGGGCCTGTCCCCGTGTTCGCACGCATGCTTCCCCGGGGATTGCGGCTCCTTAAGGGTGAGGTGGGCGTTTATGCACCACTGGGACTTCCGCAGTGTGCTGCCTAAAAGAGCTGTTTATCAAATATCGTTGGATTAAGTTAATTGAATAAGAACTGGTCAGTTGTCTGCTTTAGTCTCATGAATTTTTACTTAGAACATTCATATTCTCTAAATTCTCATTTTGTGAGTTGAAAAATATTTCTCTGTGCTTATCTTGAGGGTGTGCTGAGCTGCCTTTTCTGCATCTTACTTGCTCTAGAGCCAGGGAGGAGCACACCGCCCCACTCCGCCTCCCGGGGGGGGGTCCTTTCCCGGAGAGGCCCGGGAGGGACGCCCTCTGCGTTTCCCACATCTGCTGGTTAGAGTCCCCCGGAGACTCTTGCCGGAGACAGAGCTCTCCAGGCCTCTCCCTGGGAAAGCCCGTGC